TGTCGCTAAAGTTTCGTCGGAATGAATTTACGGAAAATCAATTAACAAACGGAGATGTGACAATATCTTGTGGTATTTAATTGATAAAAGTAATACATCATTTAAACTTCGTTGTTATAGCGCGACTGTTGAAGTTGAGTGTATCGTAAAGTTGTATTCAGAAAGAATAAACCAGTTTTATTAAGAAAGGACTTGTGTCGCTAAAGTTTCGTCGGAATGAATTTACGGAAAATCAATTAACAAACGGAGATGTGACAATATCTTGTGGTATTTAATTGATAAAAGTAATACATCATTTAAACCGTAATAATTATTTATTATTGGAAAATATCTTTTTGTTTTAATGGTGTTTACTTTTATTAACACTTACAAATTTATAATGGAATAAGAATTACTACATAATATAGGCTATACTACATTTATACAGCAATAATACTGTATAGGCCTAGTGACGCTAGCTCACGTTCTTTAATTATTTGTTGCAATGAATCTAATATATAAAGCTAAGTTTGTATCTGTTTGTTCACATCTTTCAGCTATCTGTTCCTTATACATTTCTGCATTTCGTGATCAATCAGCACCAAAACTGACACAATGATACAGGATGGCATGAGGAAGGTGATGGAGGGGGTTTGGGGTTGCTCCCCCAATCTTCTATATGAATAAACATCAATATGTGTGTGTGTATCTGTTCCTTATACATTTCTGCATTTCGTGATCAATTAGCACCCAACTTGACACACTGATACAGGATGGTTATGAGGGGGTTGGGGTTCCCCCCCCCCCAAATCTTCTATATAAATAAACATCAGTGTGTATATCTGTTTCTTGTACATTTCTACATTTCTTGATCAACTTGACACAGTGATACAGTACTGGTACCTTCATGTATTTTTATAGAACTTTTAAAATAGAAGCACAATTTTCTCTCCTTGTTAGAAACGAGTTTATATTTCACCTGTCCAATGGACAGGTACTTCAGCTAATAATAAATAAAGTATCAAAACTGGTGTAAATAAATATATATCTTTATGAATTATGTACAGCTGTTTACAGTGACAGATTTAAGGGGATCTAACACGGGCCTTGTGCCCCTATTTCCAAATATGATGAACCCCCTATGCACTCATTTTTCTTTGGAGAGAAATAGGTTTGTTAATGTTTATCAAAATGCAGGTTTCAATATCTCGTGTTATGTTTATACTGGATTTTTCCAGCAAACTATCGGATATCCAGGCAACCTAACAGTCAACCATATTGAATGAATTACACAAGACTGTAACTTTCAGTATCGCATTAGTTGCCACAAAGATTAGGGCTTAGATGCCTAACTTTGACACTCAGTCAGAACCAAATATCACCAGGTAGCCCAATACCTGGCCGGGGCCAAATATCTGGCTGGGTACCCATGCATCTCTAACAATAAGTGAAAGTTTTCAAACTCTTTGAGATGAAAATAAGCAACAAACTTTTACAAAAGCTACATATATCCAGTTTTATTTTGTAGATTGAAAAGCTTTATCTGTGCATGTGAAAAATTTAACAATTTCCACCATCTCAATTACATTTACAAAGGGGCATAAACTTAAAATTAGGGTTAACAGTTTGGATTTTTTAAATTAACTTTATCCAAAATAAATGTTCATAAAACTCGCACAAAAAAGAACATTTTAAATCTCAATATTTTAATTATAATTTTATTTTCCAAGTAATATGAGTGTAGGAATCAAACAGAATTTTTCAAAACTTAATGTAAATTTTTCTCTTTTAAAAAAACACAAGTACTGAGGTGGAAAGGGTTAAACATGCCTTATGATAACTACTGAATTTTTTAGAATCAAAATTTGTTTTTTAATAACTTTACAATTTATTATTAACAAAAAACCACTGTATTGAATACCTAAAGCTATACCATTATGCAGCAATCTCATAAGTGATGACTCAAACCTATGTTTTCAGAAACTTTATACAGTAATTACACTGTCAAAGGCCTAATTACATAACTGCATAGCCTACTTTATTGAAAGAAATTTTAAAATGAAAATAATCTTAGCAATAAAACTGATACAAATAAAAAGTGTTTATAAATATTATTTCTTGGAATTTGTTTATAATGTTAAATTACTAAATACCACATAGTGTTTAAATAGGTACACAATTAAAGGCATTTTTAGTTAAGTCCAGTCTATGACCTCACAAAAAAAAAAGTTGACTCTACATTTTTCAACATTACATCACCAGGAGTGAATTACAAGGCATGATAGTACCATACTTATACCATTTTTTTTTTTAAGTTGGTCATGTGACCTGTGTATTGGTTACAATAAAGTATAAAAAAAGATCATGGATTAATAAATAGAGACAAAGCTCCATTGAATATCTGTGTAATAATGTGGTATGATCACCTCTTAAAAATTTCGCAGTTAGCTTGTAGAATCCCTTACAAGTAATTTACAGTTTACTTATTTAAATTTCTAATTTTTATTAGTATTATATTAATTTGTTTGACTTCTAGTTTTCTATAACTAATGTGTTTATAATTTATTATAAGTTGACAGTTATGTTTTCAATATTTCAGGAATACATATTACTTTGTCATGCTGCTGACCAAACTGAAGTTGACACGCCATCTGCTGAGCAAGGTGTGTGTCTAGCTATCATAAGGATATTACTTAATAACAGATTGTAACAGATGAAAATTGTTATGAAAATGAAATAATTATTAATAATATATACTTTTACATTAAAAAACTGAAAGTGAAAAGAGACTAGACTTGGAGATTGAATGTGTGACAAACAGGACCAGTGTTATTTCACTGACCTATCTAAGGATACAAGACATCCCCATCTTTGTTCACATATTAGGTTTCTTACTATTTTCTGGTGTTGTGTTCAGGCAACTAGTGGGTTGATTTACCAAATTATACAAAGTCTATCACATTTATTGTTATTAATTTTATTTTACGTGTGATTATGAATCAGTGAAAGGCCTAACATAATATTTTATGTGGAAAACCCATTAAGTGAAAAGAGAAGTCAGAATCTGTTTAGTCTCTCTTTTTTCTCTGTAAAGGCCTTTTACATGTAAACATTTGAGTTTGAAAATGTTAACCCTAATAATGTTAATCCTATTCATACATGTTCGTCAGTTTTACAAACCTAGTAAGTATAATGTTAACCACAAAACTACTCATATTGTAACCCTGAATGTACTAAGTTTATCTTAATGAAACTGGGCAAGCTTTTAATAAACAATATAAGTATATCATACACAAGAAATCAATTTTTTTTTGTTAAATATTTGTCTGTGAATTTATGAAGCCCTTATTGAGTCAGTGACCAACAGGTGGGTTTCATATTAAGAATAAAAATATTGAAATTGCATAACCACTAGAATCTCCTCAATGAATATCAAGAATTGTTCGTTGAAAACTTATACTTTATCTATTATTTTGTCCTTAACACTAACCGCAGCAAAATCATCTATGCACAATAAAATGAAAAGTTTAAAAATACGAAATAAATTCAAAAATACCTCTTATTTTGTTTTCCTTGAATAACTATAGATTTTAATATACAAGTACAATTATATGTCTTAATAACTTCAGGCCTGTAACTACTTTAGTTTAATTTCATCATTGTATTGTTCTTTGAACCCAAATGTCTAATTAGTGTAATAAAGCAATAAATCACACATGTATTGATTCCTAAAAGTGAGGTCATGAGGATATTTTTATCTAAGTTTTCTAATTCTTACATTTTAGTTACTTTTGTTCAAAATAAATATAAACGATAAATAAAAAAAACAAGAATTTTAGCATTTACCTATCTTACTTTAGGCTGTTTGTACTCGGGAACATACTTTTATAAGAGTAATTTTTTCACACTGTTGGTTTTCCACAAGTTCAATAATGTTCCTTCCATGTTTTTAGGACACAAAATATATTGGGCAGTAGAATAGAATGTCTTAAAACTACTAGACTTTTATTGGCTTTTTTTTACTAAACTATAAATAGTATCTACTTACTTGTAGCAAAACAAAATAACCTTATAAGGAACATCCTAAAACAAAGAACTGCTCTTTATATTGGTTATAAATAAACTCAGTAATATCAAAGAGCATTACTAACATTTTTTGTAAGAGAACTTGTCATGTGGGTTTGACATTTTGTTTATATCTCAGTCAAGTAAGAAGATTGGATGTTCTAAGTTTCTGTCTAGCTTTTCAGTATCTATGTATGTGTGTTAATTAGTTGGTCAGAAAATCATGTAAGGGGAGAAAGAAAATGTAAGATGGGCATTTTGGAGCCAGATGCATCATGTGATACAGAGAAGCGAAGATTGAGAATTTATTTAAATATTTTCTTATGAAATTAAGAAACTAAATCTTAGTTAATATAAAAAATTGAATTAGAAACCATGGTTTGATGACAAGATTAACGACATATATTAATGATAAAGTTGTTTACTTACATTTTAAAGGTAGTTCTATAAAAAGATTATGATGGGAACACTTTAATCCTGTTGTATTTATAGGGTTAATTAAATTTCGTATGTATCTGAGTTAAATGTTTGTGATGTGCACTTTGACTCCCTTCTCCTCCCAATGTGCATAGAGTTCATAGAGTTTGTTAAATTTTTGTTTAATAATTATTTCAACAAACTTTGTGTTATGGAAAACAACTCTTATTTTTATATGTTTAAACAGTAATTTGGTATCCTTAAATATCTATCTGGTTGCTTGTATCCTTTGAATTATTATTTCAATTCAGCCTAAAGTAAATCATTAACTTTACAGATCAAATGAAACAGCTGGTTTATATATTTAAAAAGTTTGATTATTTAAAACTTGTAAACTGTAAACAATTAAATAAATACAAGAACTTCTGGTCACATAAATAGTAAAATAAGAAGATTGTTATTTTCTTTACAGTAGCTGAATGCACGATAGATGTTTAATTGTCAGTTATACAATTATTACTTCATTTGTTTCAGGAAAATATTGTATGGGTCTAGTGGATACAGACAGAGCGTTTTACGCAAAGGAACATGAGTACACCGTTACTTTGTCTACACTTCAACCACCTTCATGTACACCAAAAAACAACTTACTAATTGGAGTGCCTCCCACCTGGTGAAAATCAATTAGGTTACAGGAGATTATTAGTTTTAACAACTTCAAGAGTTTCATCAGAGCTAGTTTAAATAACACACAAAATATAAGACAAGTACCCTCATTTGGATTATGTACAGTAATCTTTCTATATGTTTTAGTTGTTTGTTTTTAAAATAAGGTTTTCAGACCTTTTCAGCATATTTTTATCTTTTTAATAAATAATATTTAAATATCATGAACTTAAATCAGTGATTTTCAGCAAATATTAGCATATTTTGACAGTTCCTTGTTACAAATCTGGTTTTCTTGAACTGTAGAATGTTATCCTGCTCAAGGAACAGTAAAGTACTTAATTAATAGTTTCGTTTTGAATTACTTATTGATTATACACATTTTTTATTCCAAATTACAGCTGTTATAATAAGGAAGAGTATTTTCTAAAACAGGTACAACATTTGGATCACTGATACGGTCAATGTCAAGTAAACCTGTGAGCAATAATGTTATTATCAACTTAGTGAACACAAGGAAAACTTAATCAAAATACGTGCCTTTTTCATATCTTACAAACAGATAAAAAGACCAAATTAAAGTTGTAGTTTGAAGTCTTAAACAAAAACTTTACTTTCTACAGACAGATGAAACTACGTAGTATCCATTAAAGGATAACATTTTCCTTATCTGAAAAAGTATTTCTGATATATATACTCACCTCTCTCACACAGAAAGCTATCTTCCCCACACAGCTAGCTACCTTAGAGATTTGCATGCCATTTTCCTTCCACCTAAACTCACAAGAATTTTCTTGAATTGCATTGCTGCATAATGACATTATGCAGCATACTAGCTCCCTCTACCTATTAATACTCGTGAATATTCATTCTTTGACAATGCAAGGAATACAAAGGTGCACTAGAAGTGGGAAGGATAAGTGAGAATGTGTATGAAGAGGTATCTGTAAGGAAAATGTAACTTTCAAGATGAGATCACACCTCCACCCACAGTTAATCTAGAATCCTATGTTGAAATGGTGGAGGAACAAAGATGAGCTTCCTTCAGAAAGGAATACATGGAGTGTGACACCTGATAGCAAGGGTTCCATTGGGGCACACCCATGGGAGACTACATTTCATCTCTTCTGGGAGAAAGAGACAACAAGCCCCATGTGTCACAGGGATGGGGGAATAAGAACATGTCTATTTAAGAACTCGCACATAAGAAGTGGAAGAGCCAGTATGTATACTGTGGTTGGACATGTTCAAAAATCAATATGTATACTGTGGTTGGACAT